CTTTGCATTTTAGAAAGATTCTAGAAGGAACAAGACCTTTATTTGACTACAGGTCGGGATCAGTATGGTCGATTTAAGTCCATTCAGGGTCGATATGATCGGTCTGGAACACCCTAAAATCTTGAATTTGGTTTGAAGGATAGCCAGAATAAAACTTCTATTTGATTATAAGAAGTTTCGTGGACATAACGGGGGAAAAGGCTCACATCAATAATGGAAACTCTTGAGAAAAAGTTATTGGAGAAAGGAGTAGAACATGTGGTAATGTCAAACATCTATAATTCTCTGGTACAACTCTCTCAACCCTTATCTCTTTATATTTTATTTGTTTTTTTTTTCCGTTGTGTTCTCATCTTTTCTCTACTCTAATTTCCCTTTCTTTACTTATTTTGCTGCCATTTTCGTTTGTTTTATAAAATCTTTTTATTCATTTTTATTAATCGAAGCATTCTAATTGGACATTATTTTCAAACCTTGTTTGGAGTCAATTGTCCAACATTATTAAAAATCGGGGAAACAGAGAATCAAAGATAAAAGAAAATAGAGTACTTGGAGCAAAAAGATGAAATAAACTCATTTAAAACGAGAGGGACGAGTTACCTAACAAATCAGGAAAAACAAGTACATTGAGACACATTTAAGCAAGACATAAGATCGCACTTCTTTTTATGATGGGTAGCATCCAACTTTGATACTAATTTATTGGGTGGAAATTTGTGTTGCCCTTCTTCATCTTTGTTGATGTAGAAGTTTATATTTGTTTTTTGCATTTCACACTCCTTGAGTTGATTTATTTAAGGATGTCTTCCTCTTTTGAAACATTTCCTATGTTATTTGTTAATATGATGGTCCGTCAAGGTTGTCTATTCTTGAGTTTGTTTTTCCTCATCTTTGTTTTTATCTTCTAAAAGGTTTTTTCTTAGAATATATTTACAAATAAAAAACTCTAACTCTATAATTGATATAGAGTTAGTTTTATTAAAGATAACATGTATGAATTCTTTTTTAATAATGGTTTTTTTATAATTTCGAAAAAAGTTTTAATAGAAGAAGAGAAAGAAACTCGCTTTCAATTTTTATGACCTTATGTATAGAATAATTAAGGCATACTCTATTACCTTTACCATACTATTGACTTAAAATAATAATTAAATTATGTTATAAAGTTCAAATAATCAAAGTAGATCTAAGGTAGGATTAATGCTCTTACAAGTTGCATGAATCCTTGGTTTTAATATAAGTCAAGTAAACTTTGATTACTTAGAGTACCATTATTCAAGGATAAGCTGAATAAATTGGAGGTGGACAAGAACGAAAATTTTGATAATTTTTGTGAAATTTTCAATAACATAATTCATTTTTAAATATTTATTATAATATTTTAAAAATAAAAGTAAAAATTTATATTACTGAAAATTTTGAAATATACTAAAATTTATGATAGTATAAAAAAATTGAAAATGAACTACCAGATTTTTAAAATTCGGTAACTTTTTAAAAATTCCGGTATTTTTAAAATCCGATAATTTTTAAAAATTCTGATATTTTTTCGAAAAAATCTAATATTTTTTAAAAATTTCAGATTGTGTAAACAAATTGAACACAAGAATAATAACATTATCATTGAGAGGGATATAACTGTGGAAGTGTTCTTAATCTAATTATTTACCATTTTTGTAGATACAAGTCTCGTCCTTCTTTTTTTAATAAAAGAACTTTACTATTAGAAAAACATTAATCTCTCCATTATATGCTTGTGGTTTCATTGTTTTTGTTTAGAAAGGAAACAATTTAATAATAGAAGAGAAAAGAAAAAAAGAATATGTTTGCAAATATATTTTGTAACCTAGTATATGTTTTGTAGACAATCAATTTTATAATTAATACACTTTTGAAATTATTTAGCAGCCACATTAATGAAATGGATCGATAAACTAATCAATAAGTTGTGATTTTCAATGAAACAATAATCAAATCAACTATTTGAAATCTAGTGGAAAAAAAGTTTTCACCGGACAAATCGTTCGGATATTATTTTTGTGATATTATTTTTGAATTATAAAATCAAATTAATCGATTTTAAATTTGATTAACAAACAAAAAAATTAATTAATATGAAAAGAAATTCGTGAATTTTTTTCTAACTTTTTAAATGATGTAAGTAACAATTACTAATTTACAATTTTTTAGAAATTAAAATTTATTATATTTCTAAGTGCAGATGAACTTAATATCATTATCATTACAGAAAAAATAGATTAAATAATAAGAGAAAATTCTAATTCTAGATGAAATTTTTACTAATTTTAAAATTCTTAGTTTTGTATAGTAAATTAGAAACAAACTCGTGTGTACGCACGGGTTCTGGTCGGATGCGCATATTTGTTTACATAATATATTTATTTTAAATAGAAAACTAAAAAAGAAAAAAATATTCAGATCAATAATATATTTGTTTGTATATAAAAATATTTAGATCAATAATAGATTTTTTTTCATATAACATTTTTGAATCATAAATATTTGGATCATAAATATTTGAATCATAAATAACATGTTTCTTATATGAAAATATTTAGATCAATAATAGATTTTTTTTCCGTATACAAATATTATTTTTGTTTAGGTATCGTTTACAAAAGTATCCGGATCAATAGTAAATTTTCATATATAAAAGTATTTAGATCAATAATAGATTATTTCTCGTATACCATTTTTTAATCAAAATTATTTGGATCATAAATACTATTTTTCATATATAAAAATATTTAAATGAATAATAGTTTTTTCCCGTATACAAATATTATTTTTGTTTAGATATCGTTTTCAAAAGTATATGGATCAATACTAAATTATCGTATATAAAAATATTTAGATCAATAATATATTTTTTCTCGTAGACCATTTTATAATCAAAAATATTTGATCATAAATACAATTTTTTGTATATAAAAATATTTATATTAATAATAGATTTTTTTACCGCATGCAAAATATTATTTTTTGTTTAGGTATCATTTTCAAAAATATATGGATCAATAGTAAATTGTAGTATATAAAAAATATTTAGATCAATATATTTTTTCCTGTAGACCATTTTTTAATCAAAAATATTTGGATCGTAAATACTATTTTTCGTATATAAAAATATTTAGATCAATAATAAAATTTTCCCGTATGAAAATATTATTTTTGTTTAGGTATCGTTACAAAAATATTTGAATCAATACAAAAATTATCGTATATAAAAATATTTAGATCAATAATATATTTTTTTCGTAGACTATTTTTGAATCATAAATATTTGGATCATAAATAACATTTTTCATATATAAAAATATTTAGACCAATAATAGATTTTTTCCCATTTGCAAATATTATTTTTGTTTAGGTATAGTTTTCAAAAATTTACGGATCAATAGTAAATTTATGTATATAAAAATATTTAGATCAATAATATATTATTTTCCCCATACACTATTTTTGAATAAAAAATATTTAGATCATAAATACTATTTTTCGTGTATAAAAATATGTAGATGAATAATATTTTTTTCCCGTATGCAAATATTATTTTTGTTTAGGTATTATTTTCAAAATTATATGGATCAATAGTAAATTATCATTAATAAAAAAATTTAAATCAATAATTTTTTTTTCCTGTAGTCCATTTTTTAATCAAAAATATTTGGATCAAATACTATTTTTTTGTATACAAAAATATTTATATTAATAATAGATTTTTTCCTGTTTGCAAATATCATTTTTGTTTAGGTATCGTTTTCAAAAATATATGGATCAATAGTAAACTATTGTATATAAAATATTTAGATCAATAATATATTTTTCCCCGTATACCATTTTTGAATCATAAATATTTAGATCATAAATACTATTTTTTGTGTATAAAAATATTTAGATTACTACATATTTGGCTCACTCGTTTCATTTTCCTAGTATAATATTATTTTGTACGACATAATTGTACTCAAATGTACTTTAAAACCAATATGTACCATTGTACGACATAAATCTACTTCATGTTCATAATAAATTGTTATATATCAATACGTAAAACACAAATGCATTTTTCAAGGTTGCATACCATGCTTCTTTCGTTAAGGTGGGGAGATTCTTGTTCAAAAGCTCAACCTCAATAGCATATGCTTTTGTTTCATGAATATCAAGAATTTAAACCCACATATTGATTAGAACTTCTAGAGGAATGTTGTTATCTTCAGAAAATGGACATAGGTCCAAGAAGCACTCTTTGATCTTTTCAGGTAAGTAATTAGTACTAATTGTCATTCTATTCACCAGATCAAGTTCATAGGATTCGGCGATGCTTAAGCCTTGAGAAAGCTTTGTCGCCTAACTAATACAATTCATTCTAATTTTGCAAATGATGCTCCGATCACTTTAAGAGCTAGTGGAAGCTTTTCGCACTCAGCCATAACTATATAACATAACAATTTACTTTTGATAAACGGTTAAATCTATGTATACGGGAAAAATTGACAACATGAAAGATGAAACCATTGCCTTTTTGAGTAAATTGTGATTAGTTGCAAAATAGATTAATTTCTGTCTGAAAGCGTGGTGAGAGAACAAAGACAATTTGTCGTTTTCGCCCAGCTTTTCCACTTGATAAATTGCGTCAACGAATCTGAACCTTGAAAAAACAATGTATTTGACATGAGGTATTCAAAAGAGAAGCTGCTCCACCACCGATTTTGACCACACATCATCAAGAATAATTAGGATTTGAGACTGGCCATCACATTCAACAATGCATTTCAAAGATTAAGTGTTAAAAATCAATACTTTTGTGCAAAAAATTAATACTTTTGTGTTAAAAATCAGTACCTCATAATCTTAATTATTGGGAATCCCTTAACTACATATCCTTGTTCTTCTCCTCATTGGCATCAACTTGTATACAAAGCAATTGGAGTTTCAAGATTTCTCAAGATAGAAGCATCTTTTTCGTACCGCAGAAATCAAAGTGAATGAACCTCGGCATTTGAATTTGCATAATTATAGAACTTTTGAACAAATATAAGCTGAAAATGAAAATAAATCATGGGAATCAATATAAGCATGATCAAAATTTAGATATAGAAAAGAGTAATAGCAAGTAAATCAGACGAGAGAAAAAATGATGAATCAAGTATTAACGTAAAAATTAGTAGAATCGAAATATACTGGAGGGCATGGAACTTGGAGACTATGAAATCGTGCTTGCAGACAGTGTCATGGAAATTGGTGTTATCCAATAGTGTCATCGAAATATACTCCAATAGTTTTTTGCAACAAAATATACACATGAAATTTGAAAACTCTTTAAATTTTAATTCAAAACATTGAAAAAAAACATGAAAATGATTGAACTGAAGAAAGTTTAATCGAACGTTCATTGACCAGAACCTGTGAGTACCTTAATTTTGTCAACAGTCACCTCTTCAACATACACATATTTTTTACCATCATAGTTTCTAGTGTATGGAACCCTAAAATCTGCGCATATATCTATAGAAAAGAAACCCTAAAATTTGCACATATAAAACACCAATTAATATACACACAAAAAACATGCAGAAAGTTTAGAGCTTTATGGAAGATCTACCACTGTGAAATCGCAAGTCGCCGCGAAATAGCAGGAAAACCCATGTAATTGCAAATGGATCTGAATTCTGCAAGTCATGATATTCAAACATAACATTGGAAATGCCAACCCAAAATATATAATCCAAAGATGGTATAAATGGAAACCAAAATATGTAAACCCTAAATACTTAAAAAATTATAACTTAAATAGAGAGTTTATAGATTTGCAATTAAAGATGTTTTCCAAATATTTCTTACGAAAGAGTTAACGAATATTTTTAAAACGTGAAAATTTTTGTAAACAATAAGCAGTAACAAAAATACAATAGTTGATGGTGAAGATACAACCTCGTCATCAAACTCATCAAAGATTTTCTTTATCTCAAATCACCCTTCAAAAACATCCTCAAAACACCATCAACCAACAACAACAACAACATAAAATCCGCATTATTTCTGATATTTTCTTCGGCTAGACTTCAACCGTTGCTAAATAACTCAGTGTGTTTCATGATATTTTTAGTGGTTGCAGTCACTAAAGACGGTTTATAGAGAAGCAGAGGAAGAAGGAAGAAAAATAATGAAATAGTTAGAGAGAGAGATGGAGGGAGGAAGGGATGGAGGTGGAGAGAGAGAGAGGGAAGGAGAGGTTGAATTTTGAAATTAAGATAATGGGAAACAACCAAGCAAGGAGAAAAGGTGCTACTATTCATTCATAAAGTACTTGGGAATTCAAAAAAATGTCCTTTTTAAGTTACCATTTTGGTTTAGTTAATCTACTAAAATGAAAAGTATTTGCAATTTCTGCATAAATCAATGTAATAAACATGCGATAAATTTGAATAACTAAAATTCCTAAATTATAATAATTGAAAGGTATGGCCATTTAAGAGCTCACCTAAAAGCTGGGGGGAGGAAGTAGTTGACAAAAGTGCATAAGACTGAAAGGTCTCTATATGTAGCAACTAACTGATCAAAAAGATGATTTAAGTCTTTTGCTTCTGGCAGGTAATCCATCCACCTGCAATCTAATTCAAAACCTCTCAGTCCTTAATTATTGGATTTTAGCTCTCCCCCATGGACAACACTACTCTAATTTGAGGCTACCTTTCATCATTAAATAGACACATTCCAAATTCAATTTTAATATATTTGTGATTAATGCATAATGCTGCCTCCTCCAACATTGAACGCATATTTGATTACACGACATGTTTGGTTCATGGGTATGTTTTTATGTCTGTCGGAACACTGATGTTGGAAGAAGGATTATGATGTATTACCCACTAAACTATTATAATTCAATTAGGACAGTGTCAATTGAATAACATTATTACTAATGGAGGTTAGCCTCGGGTTGGCGACAATAATGGGTTTCCCAAAATATAAGGATCTTGGACTCCTTATTTAAAATACTCCTATGTTGTGGTTGAATTAACATCATAGTGTCATTTGTAGGTAGCCTCCATGCCCGACCAGCAAGTAGGACCAGCATATTTTGTTAGAGAGAGACGAAAACTGAAATATAAGTAATTTGAGGATACAGAGATAAATGATACATACGAGAACTTGCTAAATGATACATTATAAGCACAAAAAATTAGCATAGTTATTGGACCCTCTGATTCACATTTTGGATCGTTATCAATGAATCAATAAAATTACATTCTAAAAAAGACGACAAACCTCTGGTACCATCCATCGGTAAGCTACAGTTTCTGCAGTCATTATTTTGGTCATCGATTCTTCCCTTGCAAGGCCAAAATGTGCAAGTTTAACAGAGTTTTGATTTACTATAGGAAACAGTTTATCTGCATTGTCAAATTTTTAAAAATATATAACACTTATTAAGGTTAGAAATCATCGGTATATACATCGATCACTCATTCAACCATTAATGACAAAATGAAATGTCTACATACAATTTATCAAGTTATCAAGCGTACATGATAATTAATTTCTACTTCATGTTCATAATAAATTGTTATATATCAATACGTAAAACACAAATGCATTTTTCAAAGTTGCATACCATGCTTCTTTCACTAAGGTGAGGAGATTCTTGTTCAAAAGCTCAACCACAATAGCATATGCTTCTGTTTCATGAATATCAAGAATTTAAACCCACATATTGATTAGAACTTCTAGGGGAATGTTGTTATCTTCAGAAAATGCACATAGGTCCAATAAGCACTCTTTGATCTTTTCAGGTAAGTAATTAGTATTAATTGCCATTCTATCCACCAGGTCAAGTTCATAGGATTTGGCGATGCTTAACCCTTGAGAAAGCTTTGTTTTATCGCTTAACCAATACAATTCATTCTAATTTTGCAAATGAAGCTCCGATCACTTTAAGAGCTAGTGGAAGCTTTCCACACTCAGCCATAACTACATAACATAAAAATTTGCTTTTGGTAAACGGTTAAATCAATGTATACGGGAAAAATTGACAACATGAAAGATGAAACCATTGCCTTTTTGAGTAAATTATGATTAGTTGCAAAATAGATTGATTTATGTCCGAAAGTGTGGTGGCAGAACAAACAAAATTCGTCGTGTTTGCCCAACTTTTCCACTTGATAAATTGCGTCAACGAACCTGAACCTTGAAAAAACAATGTATTTGACATGAGGTATTCTAAAGAGAAGCTGCACCACAACCGATTTTGACCACGAATCATCAAGAATAATTAGGATTTGAGACTGGCCATCACATTCAACAATTCATTTCAAATATTAAGTGTTAAAAATCAATACTTTTGTGTTAAAAATCAGTACCTCATAATCTTAATTGTTGGGAATCCCTTAACTTCATATCCTTGTTCTTCTCCTCATTGGCATCAACTTGTATACAAAACAATTGGAGTTTCAAGATTGCTCAAGATAGAAGCAGCTTTTTCGTACTGCAGAAATTAACATGAATGAACCTCGGCATTTGGATTTACATAATCGTAGAAATTTTAAACAAATATAAGCTGAAAAGGAAAATAAATTACTTTTTGAGTAAACTGTTAAATCTATGTATACGGGGAAAATTTACAACATGAAAGATGAAACCATTGCCTTTTTGAGTAAGTTGTGATTAGTTGCAAAATAGATCGATTTCTGTCCGAAAGCATGGTGACAGAACAAAGACAGTTTGTCATTTTTGCCCAGCTTTTCCACTTGATAAATTGCGTAAATGAATCTGAACCTTGAAAAAACAATGTATTTGACATGAGGTATTCTAAAGAGAAGTTGTTCCACCATCGATTTTGACCACACATCATCAAGAATAATTAGGATTTGAGACTGGCCATCACATTCAACAATGCATTTCAAAGATTAAGTCTTAAAAATCAATACTTTTGTGCAAAAAATTAATACTTTTGTGTTAAAAATTAGTACCTCATAATCTTAATTGTTGGGAATCCCTTAACTTTATATCCTTGTTCTTCTCCTCATTGGCATCAACTTTTGTAAAAAACAATTG